AGTCACCATCCCTGGAAGTATTTAAAAGACGTGTAGATGAGGCGCTTAGGGACATGGTTTAGTGGGCATGGTGGTGTTGGGTTGACGGTTGGACTCGATGATCTTAGAGGTCTTTTCCAACCTTAATGATTCTATGATTCTATCTCTATACAACATTATGTATTAGAAACCTTAGGAAAAGTTTTCCATAGATAATATTGTCCAGGGTATCTGCTGGAAGAAAGGTATCTGACATCCTCTTTACAGATCACATGCTTAGCCTACAGATGCACCAGCCACATACCCACAGGACTTATTTTGATCATGCCCCACTTAGCCAGGGCAAATGTTTTAGGTCTTGGTTCAACTAATAGGTTCTACAACACTTACACACAGCACAGTTTGAGTATCTATTCCAGTGAAAATGTGGAGATCTTAGCAGATTTGAGTGCTCAACACTGAGCATTCATTTTCTGGAAGTTTTCTAGATTAGCAACATCAGTAGAAAGTAGAAAATGTGCATCCATATAATAAAGAAAAATACTATATATAAAAATACTATAAAAATTACTACATTCAGTCCAAAAGGATATCGCTGAATCAGTTTACATAGCAAGTGTAATTAAAAAGCAGGTAACATTTTAAAATCAGCCTATTCCAAGCATTGAGGAAAACAGTACAAATTCTTCAGTGCCAAAAACAGTGGAGTAGATAACCCTCTAAGTATTTCCTTGATACACTTATAATTTACTTTAAAAATAAGAGATTTCACAGAAGATGGTTTAGTTACATCTGAGCATTTACAATGGGCTTATTGCAACAGCATTCAAGGTTGATCCATTGCTGCTTCTCATTCCCTTTCCAGCCCAAGCCATGGGAAACAAGAGTGAGCTAACAGAGTAACAATGTGCATATTCCCAAACTCCAACAAGCTGAGAGCCAGACAACGCTAATGCAAATTGTGATGCAAAATGAACACCTAACTGCCTTGCCTTTAATTGGTTAAATAAAAAGGAGGAGGATTAATTCCATCCTGGGCCCCAAATTCACAGTATGCAGCTACAGGCAAGACTGGGAGGTGGAGAAGGAAGTCCCCAGGAGCTTGGCCAGACTGAGCCGACTGCTTACACAGTTAGTGAAAGACAGTATCCCTTCTTTCTGAATACCTACTGAAACACTGGGGCCACTGAACACTTAAAAATTAGATCCTAAGACATAGAACAAGACTAAGTGCGACCATCAGGAACAAATCCATCAGATGCACCCACTGTGTCAAAAGGCAATCTCCTGAGAACCTAATCAAGAAACAGGAAAATTGGATTTCAGGTGAATGTAAGTGTCAAATGTTAATAATTGTCATGCGACCTATTGTTTGACATTGTCCTTGCTCGGAACAATTTAATCATTTAATTCAAATGATATTTATTAGCCTGAGCAGAAACCAAAGTTTGGTAGTATCTACAGTCCATCAAAAACTTTTTTTTTCCACTGACCCTAACTACACTGTAGTCTTACTTGCTATTCAGCATGTAGGTCTCCACTTGCAGGGGTTCTAGTTGAGCACAGATCTCTGACCTGAAACCATCAGTCTTTCATGGTTTATTGGATACATGCTTTGGATCAAGTCTGGTGAATGGAATACTTATTTTCTCTATCCCACCATCACGGAGGCAAAACAAAATAAGACTTAATTTGAATCTGTAGTTCACCTCACGCACATCAAAACCAAGAGAAGTAGTTATTCACTGCACTTTTACTCTTTGGCCAGGACATTTAATCTGTTTTTTTTTTTAAGTACTGGCCATCCTTATAGTCCAGAACTGAAGTGCCTTTGCTGGCAAAGCGTACAGAGCATATCCACCTGAAGAGAATCCTAAGGCACAAGCCTTCTAAAGGGAGGGAGAAAAAGAAATCTCTTTCGAGGTCAATCACTGCAACAAGAATACAAAGGGAAGGAGTGAGCATTATTTAACCTGAGGTGAAGGTGGCAAGTCACAGCACTAGCACAAGATGCTGCTGCTTCTCTGTCCTCCAGAGCCTACTGAGCTTAGGCAGGCATCACCACACTAATGGGAGTTTTTATTTATTTTTTAAATCATCGCATAGGGGACTTACGATATTATTTCATAGCAAAAATGCCACTAGGGTCAAGACATTATCATTCATGACCAGAAAGGAATTTCTGCAGGGATAAAGGTCTACTCAGAACAGCTAATTATCATGAGCTTAATTTAAATCAGTAAGAGCATAGGTAAGACCTTCAGTATCCATATCCCAGTTAAATGCTCTAATCACTAGGTTCTTGACTGCTCAAAGGGAGATTTTGACTTTGGCAGAGGCTGGGAAGGTGGAGTCAACTTCAAGCCAATCTGAGAATTACGAAACACAACAGGTAGCCCACCACAACGTCCTGTGTGACAGCAGCTGCATTTACACATTGAAATATTCAGGAAACATTCATGGAGAGAGGTACTTTTGGTTGGAAAAAGCTGTTTCGCATCATGCACTAATTCATTTATGGCAGCAGTAGTTACGTGAAAATATATTAACAGAATAAAGCCTATGCAATTTTTTGTAAAAAGCTCAGTAGTCTTTTCTAGGCACTAATGAAACTTGACAGCTTTTCCAGAACAAAACTTTCCAAAATTAAAAGCTTTCTGTAATGGAACAAAAAAGTTTTTACATGCCTGTCCACGAACTCCGCACTTTTTAGGGAATTTCAGGCTGCTGGCAAGCTCTTAGAGTGGATATTGGGCACACAAAAATCTAGGATTTCCTTTCCTATCTGACTTGCCTTGTCCAAGGGAAGAGAGCACAAGAATAAATTAGAATATTGGCTAAATATATGACTTTCAGCTTTCACTGAAGGTTAATACCCAATTTCCATATCCAGGGGTTTTTTTTTGCTTTAGACCTCTGGTTTAACCAAACATGACAGTAAAAGGAAACCTGATAGGGAGTTGTGACCACAGAAGGGTGATTTTTAAAATTATTTTTATTTTTTAAAATAGAAATGGAGAAAAAACTTAGTAACTTCTTTTAGGGATGAAGAGCTTCTTTTTGAATCCCAGATGATCTTACTACTCTGGTATCACCGACTCTTTTATTAGTTCTGCAATATCAATTGATGGGACAGAAGGGGAAAGCAGCATTCATGGGTCCTATTTCAAGTTCTGCCACTGATTTGCTTCTATGACCTTAAATAATTCATTCTATTTCTTTCTGTATCTCAAGTTTCTTCTTGTACAAGATGGATAGAAGCCATTGCCTACATTACAAAGGTGCCAGGAAAATAAATTCATTTTTAAGGTGCTCTAAGGACCTGGGAGAGATAGTTATGAACTCCAGAAAGATCATTCACTCTGAATGACAGTATCTTAAGATCTTTACAATGGTAAATGATGCATTTTTTGAAGCATTATCAGTTTCATTAACATTTAGAATATACCAAATAATTTTTTTTTTTTTCTGGCTTGCTGGGTAAGAAGCTTCTTCACTTACATGACAGCTCTTGTTTTAACAGGAAAACTGCATTAGATCGCTACAGCCTTGAGAAGGCAGGCTTCACCCACATCCTCAATGCGGCCCATGGTCAGCGGAACGTGGACACAGGACCAGAATATTATCACAACATGACTGTGGAGTACCATGGAGTGGAAGCAGATGATCTCCCCACTTTCAAGCTCAGCCAGTTCTTTTATTCAGCTTCTAAATTCATTGATAATGCGCTTCAGGATGAAAGAAGTAAGGAGGGTGCTGAAAATGGTTAAAAACAGTACAGTATTTACTCCATCTGATTATAAGCATAGTTCCACAGCATTCAACCTTGTAGGAATGACACAAGTCCAATACAGTCTAACAGAGAATATAAAACTAGTAGCAGGGAACTAGTTTAAGAGAACATAGTGATGTAACTAGGACCTTTCTCACTGCAAAGCCCAAGAGCCCCTTACCAAGCACTTTGATCAAAGTCAACATCACAGCTTGCATTAAGGTCTCCTGTCTGATAGAGGTTTTTTGTTGTTGTTTTGACTCCTTCATAAACACACCAGAGACAGTCAGACATTGCATAGGTTCCATGAATTAGCTGTCTTTTCCTCAAATTAGTCCCAATTAAGAAAGGTTTAATGAATATTGCTTGCATAGCGGTGGGAGTGGAACACAAGTGCTCTGCAGAGATTCCAGGCTGTCACTCCACAGCTTCATGCTCTGCAGCATTAGATTCACTCTACAAATATAAAAACCATCTTCCTACCTGGCCAAGCTGTAACAGATTTATCTCTCTGCCATCTTCCAAGCAGCAGGGGACCGAAACAACTCTGACAGCAGAGACCTAGAAACATTTCATTAAAGCCTTTGTGATTTCTCAGCTTGATTACTACAATTCATTATTTGCTGACCTCCAGCAGTGTTCTATCAGAAAGCTTTCCACTGACGTGAAGTGCTACAGCCTAGGCCTCACACTGGCTTTCAATATTACTCCCACTCCTTTCCCCCACATGCTTTTTTTTTTTTTTTTTTTTTAAAAAAAAATTCTCTCACGAATTTTTCACCAAAAA